CCCGTTTGACCAACCGGTCAACTCCATGCCTTTCTTATGGCCCAAATAAAATATCCACCACCATATTCATATTATCTAGACCAAGATGAATCTGAATTGTGGTTCAAGAATTATCGGGCGGTCCCCGGTCCCGGCGTGGGCCCTACATGCAATTTACTATTCACGTAAAAGAAATAATAAAAATTTACGATCACGCAAATTCTTAAATCATCCTTCAAGGTTTATTACATAGTTTACTAAAAGTAAATATGCTCGGGGTCGGTGTTACAACAAGTGTCCGTACTAGTGTAGGGAGGACTGAAGAGTTCTCTATTACTATCGGAGTGCACCAAGGATCGGCTCTAAGCCCTTTCTTGTTTGCCATAATTATGGTTGAACTTATGAAGTCAATTCAAGACGATATACCGTGGTGCATGATGTTTGCCGACGATATTGTATTGATTGATGAGACGCAATCAGACCTTAAAGCAAAGTTGGAAGTATGGCGACAGACATTGGAGAACAAGGGTTTCAGACTAAGTCGGAGCAAGACAGAGTACATGGAGTGCAAGTTTGGTGGAGGTAGAAGCAGTGGTAATAGCGGAATTACTCTAGATGGTAAGGAGATACCGGTCAGCGATATGTTCTGTTACTTAGGCTCCATAATTCAGAAGGACGATGAGTTAGATGGAGATGTATCCCATAGAATCAGAACAGGGTGGATGAAGTGGAAGAGTGCTTCAGGATTTCTATGTGATCGAGATATGCCGACCAGACTGAAGGGTAAATTTTATAGGACAACAATTAGGCCTGCATTACTGTATGGCGTAGAGTGTTGGGGAGTGAGACAATGTTACATTCAAAAGATGAGTGTGGCAGAGATGTGCATGCTGTGTTGGATGTGTGGGCATACTAGGAAGGACCGCGTGAGGAATGAGACAATCAGACAAAGGGTGGGAGTAGCACCTATTGAAGACAAGATGCGGGAGTCACGCCTACGGTGGTTTGATCATGTGCGTAGAAGACCGAGTGATGCATCTATCAGACGAGTTGAAATGTGTGGAGAAGATGCAGAGAAGAGAGGGAAAGGAAGGCCTAAAAAGACGTGGGTTAGGGGAGTCCGAAGTGATATGCTTCTTTCTGGGTTGGATGAGGGTATGGCTTTGGAGAGAACAACGTGGAGGGCGGGTATTCGTGTGGAGGAGTGATCTTGTATCATCTTTTCGCCTCATCTTGTTTTTTCCCTTGTTTTTTTATCCTTATTTGTAAACATTATTTGTATCCTTTTTATTTTATCATTTTTATGTATATTCATCTCTTTTTATATTATCTTTTTATAATAACTTATCTTTATTTTCTTTCTTTTCCTTTTGGTGGTGATATCATGTATCGTTTCATGTTAGCCGACCCCAATATCTTTTGGGACTAAGGCTTGGATATTATTGTTGTTGTAATGGAACAAAGTTTATCATCTTTAATTGAAAAAGTCAAAATGACTAAATAAATAAGGGAGAGAGGTAGTAATTATTATTTTGCTTGTTATTGCATGACAATGATATTTTGTTATTGTATTATTAGTTACTTGTGTTTATTATCAGATAACTTTTTTATTATTGAAGAAATATATGTTAATATAAAAATATTTCGGCAAAAACCTCAAAAAACCAAAATCGAACTCGAATTTTGCTTAGTGTACGCAAGTTGTACATGGTATAAAAGCAAAAAAAAAAAAACTCACTTTCCCCTCCTCTCTTTTTTCGGTTCTCTCTCCCTTCTCTCTTCCCCCTCTCTCCCTTCTCTTTTTTTTTCTCTATCTCTTTGATCCTCCTCTTTCCTTCTCATCCTTTTCTTCTCTACCTTTTTATATCAATTTTTTTTCATTATTTGCACAAAATCAGCTTATTCATCTTATTTCATATGTTTTTATTTTTTTCTAATTTTTTTCAGATTACATGTAAATTGATTACGCATACAACTACATCATTCATTTGGATGTATATAGAAAATTAATTTTTTTGATTCACCCAGACAATTAAAATTGATCACACACACAACTAAAGTTGATCACACAGACAACTATTGTCTATGAAATGCACAACTATTGTCTGTGTGGTAATTATTGTTTGTGCACACAGACAAATAATTGTCTGTGTGACATGAAAGTATTGTCTGTGCACACAGACATTGCACATATATTGATTGACTTGCAAGTTGGTGTCAGTGTCAGACGGTTGTCAGTCTACTTTTTGCAAAAAAGTAAATGTCTATGTACACAGACAAAAGTCTTTTGTCTGTGTCCACAGACAATTCCGTATCAATTGTCTGTGACCGACATTTTGTGTACAAGTTGTGTACAAGCTTATGTACCCTTAGCATGGTTGACCGAACTCACCCGTACCTCTGCCTACCTGCTTCTCCACGCCCAAGACAATCTTTTTTCCACCACTTCCTTGCGATCTTTTTCTCCAGACTAACTATTTTCAATTTTAAATGTTCTCCACTGATTCACCATTGCCCCTCGCTCCAGATTGATATACATCATCAGGTGATCACTTGGTGTCCCTCCCAATTTCAATTTTAATTTGGTTCAGTGTATATGATTTGAAAGAAATGCTTCCAAATTCAAATCGAAATGTATATGTTTGATACGATCGAGGTGCCCAACCCTAATTTCAATCATAACTACAACTAATTTTGTCACTTTAATCATTAAAATGTTCCAGAATGTATTTGTAAAAGTTATGCTTCAAACTCATTCATAATTTATAAATTCAATTTACTTTTAATGACAAGATCGAAAGTAATGCATTTCTTACTGCTTGTATTAATTTCTATTTTGGGGCCGTTTGTTTTTTGGTGGTTGGCAGCCAAGACGCTAGAAAACACAGCGTTTTTTTTTTTGTAAAATAATTGGCGTTTTTGCCAATCCGTTAGTTTCCAAACGAAGCATTTACTCCCTCCGTCATATAAAATAATTCTCACATTCCTTTTTGGATTGTTCCGTTTTAATTTCCCATTTTGGAAAGTTTTGTTTCACTACCGTTTATATACTTTTTTTATTCAATTATAATCATACATTTCTATTTTATTATCACTTTGTAGTTAGTTGTAATACGGTTATAAATATGATATCCAACTTGTTGCTAACACGTGCCATCACTTTCTAATATAGGGTAACCTAAACAGTTTCATTTCAACTAAATTCTATTTTCCCATTTTGCTAGTACAATTCAAACGTTCCCACCGTGATGGCTACCGGCGGCAATGACAACATCGGTATCAGATCCGAACCCTCCACCGTCAACGGCAAGGAAATGCCTTCCCCAACTCCGACGACACTGCAAAAGCCGCGCAAAATTGCACTGATTACTGGCATCACTGGCCAAGATGGATCCTACCTTACTGAATTACTCCTCGACAAAGCCTACGAGGTCCACGGCCTCATCCGCAGATCTTCCAATTTCAACACGCAGAGGATCAACCACATCTACATCGACCCTCACAATGCCAACAAAGCCCGAATGAAGCTCCACTACGCAGACCTTACAGACGCTTCCTCTCTCCGCCGCTGGCTGGATATCATCCTTCCGGACGAGGTCTACAACCTCGCCGCCCAGTCGCACGTCGCCGTCTCGTTCGAAATCCCTGACTACACGGCAGATGTCGTTGCCACCGGCGCGCTCCGCCTCCTCGAGGCCGTGCGGTCACACATCTCCGCTACAGGCAGGTCCCACATCAAGTATTACCAGGCAGGATCATCGGAGATGTTCGGATCGACACCGCCGCCGCAGTCGGAGACCACCCCTTTCCACCCTAGGTCCCCCTACGCCGCATCTAAATGCGCGGCTCATTGGTACACCGTGAATTACCGCGAAGCTTACGGGATCTTCGCCTGCAACGGCATTCTGTTCAACCACGAATCCCCCAGAAGGGGCGAGAATTTCGTGACGCGGAAGATAACCCGAGCAGTTGGGCGCATCAAGGTTGGGCTCCAGAACAAGCTGTTCCTGGGAAACCTGCAGGCGTCAAGGGACTGGGGGTTCGCAGGAGACTACGTGGAAGCAATGTGGCTGATGCTGCAGCAGGAGAAGCCGGACGACTACGTGGTGGCCACAGAGGAGTCTCACACAGTACAGGAGTTCCTGGAAGTAGCGTTTGGCTATGTGGGGCTCAAGTGGAAAGATCACGTGGAGATTGACAAGCGTTACTTCAGGCCGGCGGAAGTGGATAACCTGAAAGGGGATGCGAGCAAGGCGAAGAAGGTGCTCGGTTGGAAGCCCAATGTGGGATTCGAGCAGCTGGTGAAGATGATGGTGGATGAAGATGTGGAAATGGCTAAGAGGGAAAAAGTGCTTGTTGATGCTGGATACATGGATGCCCAGCAACAGCCTTAAGAATAATAACAATCTCACCTTCCCAATTCACCATCCAAAGGGGTCAGCTATATATAATCATTACAGTTTGCTGGTTTTTTCCTCCTTTTCCCAAACCAATCTGTTTTTCTTTTAATTTATATTTATATTTTTGAGATGATATATCTGGAGGATGTCTTCAATCAAAATTACAGGGATTCATTTAAGGAAAATTCTTAGTATACAAAATGTGTAACGATGTACACATTTTGTATACATTTTGTGTTCACCAAGAATGGTCCTTCATTTAAGTGCAATTAATAAAAGCTTTTCAACTTTTGATGTGTCTTCTTGTTCAGGCTTTAGAGCTGCTCATGGCTATTATTAGGCTTGGGCACGGCCCCCCTTGCACTAGAGTTGGGTCAATTTTTTTGCCTGTGACAAAAGTCACAAAACTGATGTTGCAGTCTTAAATGGGTCTGTTTTCAGATGCCCAAAATACGTGTCAGCCATTTCCGGTACTTTTTTTAAAAAAATAGATCACGAATCAGGCAAGAAGCCAATTCAGAACTAACTATTCTATCCGAGCCAGAACCAAACTGGTATTACCCATTCTGTACAACTGTACCGAACAAGACTTTCCAAACACAATCAAATTAGATGCCAAAAATCACACTAACACCTAGCATATTGATAGAAGAAGAAAATAAAACAGTAGCTGAACACAACTAATTTCAAGTACATAGCAGAATGGGGAAAAACAATGAGTGCAAGTGTTAGTAACAGTAGCAGGCAGATTCTAAAAATGAGTGGCACATCTGTATGGGGGTGAGATATGGGGAAGTTACATTTGGTGTTGCATAGGAAAAAGTATAGGAAGCAAAAAGTTATGGCCCATAGTTGGTGTCAGTTTGTAAAGAAGAAGCTGATAAGTGAGCATCTACAAGGTTTTCAGAGGCTGCTGTAAATGGTTTGACAGAAGATCGAAGCACTTCTGGTCCTTCCTCATCAATCCTCTTGCACAATGCATCGCAATTGCTGATTAACTCAGTCAATCTCCCCTTCAATTCTCCAAGTTCCACCTGCAATGAATGCACTGCCAATGTGCCCTCTGGTGAGAAGTAAAGCACAAATACTATTGAATATTGATGAATACTTAAAACTTTGACAAGAAATGCATTTTCTATTTCCCCATCGGCATAAATCATGTTATTTACCAGAAATTTCCATTTCCATATATGATAAGTGTTACCTCCAGAGAGATGTTGTGATGTAGCTTTCATTGCTGAAACTGAGTAGTTGTATCGCTGTTGAAGCTTAATTGCAAGTGCATCTGCCACTTCTATTTTGTTATCTATCTCTTCCTGCATCAATCACCAAAGAGACATATGGTTATTACAGATGGATTTCTTCTCTTGTCAAGCAGAAACAAGAAAAAAGGCTGATCCATGAGAAGAAATGTACAGTAAATGGTTTGACAGTAGATCAATTGGTTCAACTACTAAGATGCACCAGGGTGTACCGCAAGTTTTTGTATTCCGTACAAATTGTGTCTAAATGGGATTAAATATGGTATGAACTTTTTGAGGCAATTTTTTTTTGAGTTTTACAGCAAGTTATCAACTTTACATGAACCTCTCCTGAAAAATGATTCATCTTTCAGAAGGAAGCACCGTTTATTTTTAGTGAACTTAATAATTTATAGCTTTATAAACTGGTGCATGACCACTTATTATATGGCTGTACCCATAAGACTTACCTCCACGATTGTTTGGAGCAATTCACAAAAAAAAAAACTCGTCCCAAAGTAATTTTACTTTTGAATTTTGAATTTACTTTAGAAAACCAGACTCTTTGTTGGGACAAAAATAGGTCTGGAAAAAGAGCATATATGCAAATGCTTTATGCCTGTTTTGAAAATAAATGGGGCAGTATAGATAAACTGGAAAAAAAAATGTAAGAGAGAATTGCAATATAACTCAACAAAATAAATGAATAAGGAATAGTCACTATTAGATGGCCATAAAATTGCTGTCTTAGAGAGTGGATCCTATTGTAAGACGGGGGTGAAGATATTAATGAAAGACAATAGGCTACATATGAATCTGGAAAAGGTCAAATCCTCCATCTCCCATATCACCCTCACCAAGGAAAAAACAGGCTTATCGAGACACTTAAAGTGTGTGAGTGTGTGACATGTGTGTGTGTGACAAACCTGTTTTTTATTGATCTTCTGAATCTTATCCTCTTGCCAGTTACGGTACATGCAAAAGAGATCCAGTAGCACTTTTGGGTCTAGGCAACCTATCACAAGCACACACCATAAGTATAGACGTTCAATCCTAGCAAAAACTGAAGCGTATCTTTTTGTTTGATGACTACATTTTGTTATGCCATATGATAGGAACTCTAATTTTGTAACAGTAAACTGATTGTAAAACAGTAGAAAGGAAGAAGATGATACAGGCGAGGCGCTTCGAGAGGCCTCAACTCTCCCAGATCCCAATTTCCCAATTCTAAAATCTGCATCCCTTTATTCTATTCCCAGCTACTATTTATAATACTTTGTTTACGGGCCGGCCCATAACAAAATTAATACCAGGCCTAGACCCCCTTTAACATAATAGAAACTATGTAACATTATTTTATTATTATTATTATACTAATAGGTTCCTATCATATCTCCTCCCTTAGACAACCACCTTGTCCTCAAGGTGGGTGATAGGAAACAACCTTAACTTCCGACTTCATCTTCATCCTGGCACCTCTTCCTTCCCAATACATCTCGAATTTCTGGACCATGATCTTCATTACTTGACCCTTCACCAGATTCTCTTCAGAAAGAGGTATGTTGTAACTCTGGAGAACATAATGATTGTTCTCTTGCTCAGGTTTCTTGGTAGAGCAGCAAATGTTCTCATAAAATTGCAACTCTCTGGGGTTTGTCAGTATGAAAAAGGAACACAGTTCATTGCTTTTCATATCACAAACAATTGGTACTGTAATAATACCTCCAAACAGCCTCATATTTTGCACTCATGCACCCTCTGTGTTTGGCTGTAGCCTATTCTCAATAATGTGGTGAAGATAATGACCAGGTCCTTGTGAAGCATTAGAATTATTAACATTTTGAGAAGTGACAGGGAGAACTCTACCAAAAACCTTGTTGGAGAATTCCATAGAACCTTTAGAAGCATCAGAAGCTGGGCATCCAAGAGAAACAGGAACTGCAGTTGGGCCAATTTCAGGTCCAGCGACCACTGACAATTTCTCCTCGTTTTCATTGTCGCCTTCAGTGAACTTCTTTGCATTTTCTCCAAATTGCGAAGCACTCATTGCATTTTCTCCAAATTGCGAAGCACTCTTAGCGTCGGAGGAAGGTTGCCGCAGATTAATGACTTTCAAACCGAGCTGTGAAGCTTGTGAAGTGAGAGACTCTGCTGGCGATTTCTTCTGCCTTTCATCGTTGCCCTCGGTGAATTTCTCTCCATTTTCTCTGGATCTGGACGCACGCCTATCTGTAGAGGAAGGTTGCCGCGCACTAACAAACTCATGCGGGACTTGACCCCTGCGAACTGAGACCTGCAAACTGGTAGACTGCGATTGCGGAGAAGTTCGCGATTTCGAGCTTTGAGATGAAAATCGAGAAGAAGCTAGACAACTGGACGGAAATGCTGGCGACGGAGAAGAGACTTGCGATTGCGAAGATGTCCGCGAACTACCTGATGCAGTTCGCGATTGCGAACTAGGAATAGTAACGGACGAAGACACAGGATTATTTTCAATCGGCCGACGGTGTCTAGGAAGGCTCCTAGCTCTGTCTCTATGTCGCTTAAGTCTGTGACGAATTTTGCCCAACATATGGCGCATCTTCTTAGCCCAATCACTTTCAACCTTTTCCGCCAGCTTCTCTCCTTTTTCGCGCGAAGCATCCTGATCGGATCTTCCATGCGGTTCCATCCTCTCTTGCGTAGACACGCGCTTCTCCATGTTCGCGTGCAAAACGGAGACGGACACCTTATGTTCTCCATATTCGCGCTTATCCACTTGTTTCCTGCGCTGCTCCATTTGTTTATCGCGTGAATGTAGATCGAAAATTCTCAGGCTAGATTGCTCTGATACCATTGATAGGAACTCTAATTTTGTAACAGTAGAAAGGAAGAAGATGATACAAGCAAGGCGCTTCGAGAGGCCTCAACTCTCCCAGATCCCAATTTCCCAATTCTAAAATCTGCCTCCCTTTATTCTATTCCCAACTACTATTTATAATACTTTGTTTACGGGCCGGCCCATAACAAAATTAATACCAGGCCTAGACCCCCTTTAACATAATAGAAACTATGTAACATTATTTTATTATTATTATTATACTAATAGGTTCCTATCACCATACCAAGGAGAGCCGAATGAAATGGAAACAATGAACTTAAGCAAGAGAAAACTTAAACATAACCACTAGAATACTAAGCATTACACAATCATTTATCAGTAGTTTTTTCACAACCGTGAAGTCCTCCTATATGAACCATTTCAGGTGACTCCCCCGTCCTCCCTCACAAAATCACATGAACGGACCCAAGGGCGTAGCCAGGATAGAAGGTTAGGGTGGGCCAGTACAAAGAATTTTTTAACAAATTTTTACACGGATTTTTACACTAAAAATACAAAAAAAATCAAATTTGGGGTGGGCCGGGGCCCGGCTGGCCCCCTCTACCTCTGCCCATGAACGGACCCCTGGTATGTCTTAAAATTGCTTCATTAAGATATAAAATATAGAGATAAATATTCCATCGCCAGTTTCAGACCAGAACATAACAACAGGGTACAGCTCCTGATCAATTCTAATTAATGGTATCCTCTTGAGTACATAATTGATGGTCCCGGATAGAGGTAAAAGTCTAGAGGGGGGGGTGAATAGACTTTTAAAACTTTTTCAACTTCAAAAACTTTTCCCTTCTAGATGAGTTGATCTATAATCTTTTGAGAGATTTATAGATGCACAGCGGACGTCTTTAACCTCTTTGTAATTAGTGTGAGACAACTTTCTAGTTTGAGTGATGTTTGGATTTTAACAGTGAGCAGTTGGCTTGGCAATTGCCTGGATGGCAGGGAACTGCTAAGGCAACTGCTAGTGGAAAATAGGAGTTTGGGAAAGATGATTGTGTGGCCTTATACAAAATGATTAAAGCTTTTTGAAGATGTATTGAGCTGGAGATAATAAGGGGTTTTGCTTAAGCAGAGGTCTAAGCAGTTGGGTAGACCCAGGAAACCGCTAAGGCACCTGCTACATATGAAAGATGTATTTCTGGGAGCTGGCAAAACGGACCTTTTAGGAGTGATGTTCCAAGGCTCTTGTGAAACAGTTGTCTCAGGAAAAGTAAGTTATTAAGCAGTAGGATAAGCAGTAGAGTCAATTAAGACTACTGCTTAGGATGTTGCTGGCAAACTACGATCCCTTTAGTGACAAGTGTTGGGTGTGTGCTTTGTTGGCTGAAAGTATGTCAACACACGGTATATCCTGGTTCAGAGGTGGTGTAATCCTCCTACATTGTTAAGTATCTAACTGAATTGCAGAGAATTCTAGCAAACAATAGGAACGAAGATGAACAATGAATAGGATTTGTTATTCGAACAACAGAAAAGAGAGAGAAAGTGCCCTGACAGTTAAAGAGATGTCAACTCTCCAGTCCCAGCCCATTACCAAAATAACCACCTCCTTATTCCTCCTTTAGCTATCTATTTATAGAAGTCCACCCGACCCCCAAATACAAAACAGGTAGCTACTTATTATTCCCTTTCCTTCTGGAATACATTTTATCATAATAGCTAATACTATTATTATTATTATTATTATCAAAAGGTTGACTTCCTGAGACTCTAACATCACTCCCCCCGGAACAACCACCTTGTCCTCAAGGTGGGTCATAGGAGATAGTCTTGACGAACAGCTTCTTCCTCATCTTAGCGCCTCGTCCTTCCCAGTATCTTGCAAATTTTCGGACCATGAACTTCATGAACTGAACCATTTCCATCACTTTTACCATAGCAAACAGCTGAAGCAAGGGCATGGTTACATGATGCTTCCCTAAAACCTGGTCAGCACCAAGTGCGACCACCCCTACAGAGAATACAAAGTCAACTTCAGGACTGTAAGTCTCAGTCTTCCCATCAGCAACCCATGAATATAAGACAGAACTCAACCCAATGCCATCAGGCCCCCTCCATGTGCACAAGTCTTTTCCCAGCAACTGCATCTCGTGCCCTTCTTCCATTGTCTTATGATTAAGAGTGTACAATATGATTGTTGTCCCGACTGCAGGAATCCCACACTGTTTATTACCAAAGATCACATCAATCCAATAGTGAAGATTTGAGCTAACATATTCACTTTCAAAGGTCGCCCTGTGCTTGATGATAACTCCTTTCAGAAAACTATTAACCCCTCGAAGGATCACCACATCACCTATTTGCTCTCCATTTTGTTTTGGACTTGGTACTCCAACTGGTTTTGCAAGATCCTGGTAAGTAGACTGTTTGATCAAAATCAAAGCTTCTATTGGACCATCAGCCAGAACCCAGGGAGACATATGACACTCGGTTAACTCATAAAATCTTCCAGCAAGTGTGTTGAAAGCCATCAAGTACTCGTCGTTTGTATTTTCTTTTCTCTTCCAACCTTCCCTAGAGATTTCACCCGACTGGTATTCAAGAGAAAACTCATCAGCCCCTTTCAGTCCCGAATCAGATGGGTCCCGAATTACAGAAAATATCAAACTGTAGCCCTTAATTGTCATCCCTTTTTTCCTTGCTAAGTTGCCCCGGAATAATACAACACCTTCACCCTTAATGATTTGAATATGACTGTCACCCATTTCCCAATCCTTCTCTATTGCTCTGAATATCTTGATCCCCTTTAAACCAATTATCAAGGCCTCTTGGAAGATAGCAGGACTGTTTTCATTGTTAAGCATCAGAAACATGTCAGCTTTATCATCCGTAGCATAATTCTCCTTTCCTTCCAATTCTGAATAACTCTTACCCCCAACTCATTTAGAATATACCTTATAAAAGTAGCACCCTCACATCTGAAACTATCAAACTTGTTAAATGACTTCATTCCTTCTAAAGTAATGTTTAATGAATGACAGTACATCATTTCAGATTTTAAAGCATTTGGCCAGTTCATCTCTTGTACGAAACTAGAAGTCACTGTAGACTTTGCCACACAAACCGCAGTATTACATACCTGAAGAATCTTGAAAATATTAGTTCCAGAGTCTGACTTGAAGGACTCGTACTTCAGAGAACAAGCAATTGTGCCCGTTTCAGGTCCATCAATAACTATAATTTGCACCTCGAGTTCTTCTTCCAGATTCGGTTTCTTGATTATAGACTCAGGCTGCCTTCAACTCAGTATTCTTTATTGATGGTGGAATCCCCAGCTTAGAAACTTGAGCCGACTCGGAAACCTTGGACAAAATTTGCGATGACATCTGCGAACCAGTAATCAAGTCTTGCGCAGGGTGAAGATCTACTAGCCATGACGATCGGTGATGATCGGTTATCCACGACGGACTGGGCGACGCATTTCGCGATTGTGAACTGGGAAGAGCATTTCGCGATGACGATTGGTAATACTCGTTAAACCGCGGCGAACTCAACGACATAAGTAGCGACGAACTCTGCGAAGGTTGAAAAACAGTTTGCGAACTGTTCTTGCTTTTGGAATTCCGGCATCGCTTTATGGTCCTCAATCTTCCTCGCTCATGCCGATTGTTCCGCTGCAGTATCAATTTGCGCAACTCTGCCATAGCGTTCCGCCTTTCTTCCCGAAAACTCTCCAGTTCATGTTTCAAATTTTCCAGCCTAGCTTCCATCTTTCCTCTAATGGCGACCATTAACAGGTAAAAAGAACAACTCTGATACCAATGTTAAGTATCTAACTGAATTGCAAGGAATTCTAGCAAACAATAGGAACGAAGATGAACAGTGAATAAGATTTGTTATTCGAACAACAGAGAGAAAGTGCCCTGACAGTTAAAGAGATGTCAACTCTCCAGTCCCAACCCATTACCAAAATAACCGCCTCCTTATTCCTCCTTTAGCTATCTATTTATAGAAGTCCACCCGACCCCCAAATACAAAACAGCTAGCTACTTATTATTCTCTTTCCTTCTGGAATACATTTTATCATAATATCTAATACTATTATTATTATTATCAAAAGGTTGACTTCCTGAGACTCTAACATACATCCAGTCCACCCTATTTCAGATAGATTTCACTAAAGTATTAAGCCCAATACACTTAGTTTCAATCTAGCCTTGACAACTCTGGCTTAGATTGAAGGTGTTTCACGAGGAGTGCAACACCACTCCAAGCTACTCAATCCTTTAGGTTTTTCTCGATTGATCCAGTGGGGATCAAAAGGTACTCCTGACCTATCTAACTACACTCAGGCCGGGAACAACTGTTCTCCTGAGTGTTTACAACACCTTGTAAAATACAAGAAAGGTTTGGCCACCAACTAAGAATTAAGCTCTAAAAATATGTAAGTGATGATCTAATCTAAGAGCTTGGTGAAGCATGAGTCCAAGCAGAGAGTGGAGTTATGATCGAGCACTTTCTCTTTTGCTAGATATCCTTTGAATGCTTATAGGATTTCTCTGCTTTGAACTCAAGAACTTATTTTAGAACTCATGTTTCGGCCTCTATTTATAGGCGTCTCCGGTAGATTAATATCATCCGTTGGTTGAGATGATTTAATCCTGTTCATTGAATCTTGGTTTCAGAAGATAACAACTTGTTGTTTGTCTTCTTCTTTGGAGCTGATAACTTTTTGTCTTTGTTTGCCTAGTCGCTGCAGTTTTATCCTTTATAGAGTTCCACTTGCATGCGCATCCCATGCTCTGGGTCCTTTGTACGTTTACGCATTAAACGTCCTCCATGCTGGATTTCCTCAAGTTTGATTGACTCCGGATGATCACAAGAGTAAATATCAATTTTTGAGTACTAATAAATTTATATTGGTAGGATTTGAATATCCTATTAAGGTAAATAAATTTACCTTATTGCATTTTTAATTTCAGGTATTAATTTTATTAGTCTCAAAAATTATACATTTATTTGTCCTCAATTATACACATGTAAAATTCATATCAATGTGCCTTTTGTTTTTGTGACGATTTAAAATGTTTGTGATCAATCATCAATTAAATATATACCGGTAGGATTTAAATATCCTTTTAAGGTAAAAATTACGTTATTGCATTTTGACTTTTCCGGTATAATTTACTTGACACAAACATTTTACTTTTGACTTTCGGTCACTCAAGGTTTTGTATGGTCAGTTAGTATTTCGAATTTAAACTATTTATTTAACTGGTAGGATAACAAATCCTATGAAGGCAAAAATCATTACCTTATTCCATTTTGTGTTCCAGTTAAATAATAGGTTTTTCGAAATACTTTGTGTTCATTTGATGTGATATTAACAAATAAGTTCAACTGGTAGGATCTATAAGAAATCCTATTTAAGGTAATGTAATATGACCGTATTGCATTTTGTGTTTTCCAGTTGAATTTATTTGTTAATTGACCATTTGAGCAAGACACTTTCAGATAATACTTTTGTAGCATTTTGGTTAGAGCAGAATACATCACTTTGATTTCTTATGCTACAAAAGACGAGGGACATAAAAACTTTGGCATCATCAAAACTGTTTATCAAAATCTAGGGGTCTAACAATAATAGATTCGAATGGAAAATAATACTCCTACTTAAATAGAATATCATTATGCTGCCTCTTGAAATCATAGTTGAATAAAATAAATGTGATCAAAGTGGGATGACCCTATGGTGTCTACCAGACCACAAGTGAGTATCCATTCATAAATAAGAAATAGAACGTCAATGAAGATGGATATTCTGATTTCTGAGGCTGTTCACTTGTTCTCAGGATTATGGACATTTGATGTGCTTCATTTTTTTTTAGCTATAAAATCGAGTACAGGGAGAACCAAAATCAAGCACGAAAGTTAGAAAGTATTACTCAAGAAAATATTCCACCTCAAGTTTAACTACGTGAATCTTTAAATACCTGAATTTGAAGCAGATGGCGTCTTTCTCACCAGAATATCTGTCAAACTACTATCTGCAGGTGGCGCCGTGAGGATTGGTTTGGACTGCAAAAACAAGTTCAGATGAATTTCACACATTTGAACTCAACAACAGTTTAACTAACAGACCAAACCTGAAAACATAATGAAAGCTCACGATTTGGAGGGACCTCAGCCTCTCCAGGATCGGATCTGCACTTTCTACGCGCTCCGAAACCGTTGTAATATCATCGACGGACCTCTAAATCACAAAAACGCAAGATTACGGAGAAAACATCAAATCCAATAGTGACTTCAGAGGCTGAACAAGATGATCTACCTGTGAGCTTGAGAGAGCCGACTCGGATGCACCCATAGATGAGGTTCGTTTCAAGAAAGCCCGTCTTCACTTCGGAAGATTGAAACTGTCGCCCGGTCACTGACCTAATTCAACCTAACCGATCGAGCTAGAGTAGCCAGTTCTGTTACCGTGAGAAAGAACCCCAACAATCCAACCCATGTTCCTTTTCTTTTATGCAAACATTTCTTTGTACACGTTTCTACACTTTTTTGTGGGATTTAATGCGTTATATAAAAATTCAGGGTATTAGCTTCATTAATTTAAAAAATGCATCATTAATTAATGATTTTGTAATCATTTTTCCCAATATTCTAATTGAATATGCTAGTAATATGTCAAAATTTCCAAATCATACAAAAATGTTAATCAATTTTCTTTTATTTGAAAATTGAATTTGTTCATAGAAAGGATTTTGCGCATAATTAATTAAAACACAAGGAATTGTGACGCATTTTTTAAATCACGGGGGGCTAATGCGCCGAATTTCCATATCACATGGGGGTTTGGTGCATTAAACCCATTTTTTGTGTACACGAGTAATCTATATACTCTAGGGATGTCAAAAAAAACCCGGCCCGCAATGACCTGCCCTGGCCCGAGACATTTGGGGCGGGTCTGGGCCGCTCCGTCTTGCAAATGGGCGGGTCCACCACGCCCCGCCTATACAATGGGGCGGGTCTGGGTATTAGTATTGACCCGTGCCGCCCCGACCCGCCCCGACCCGCCCCGACCCGCCCCGACCCGACGCACTCAATATATAAGTATATACATACTTTTCTTAAATTATACTCCCTCTGTCCCGTAAAGATGTTCTCGGTTTGACTCTCACACATTTTTATGCAAAAGTTAAAATGTGGTTGACTTTCCTAAACTACCCCCACCGTTCCCACGCCTTGCACAAGTGTAAACAAACTTCATTGAGTAAAAAATTAAGTAAAGGGGTAAAAATAAAGGGTAAAAGTACATGAAGTGATGGTTCTACAGTAAAGTGTCTACTCCCTTTACTTCCTATTGCAATAATGCGTACAACACACCAAGAGTCCCTCCAAATTTTTGGAGGGTTCATTGAATACATACGGATGAAAATTTAAACTTCCCCCCTAACCCAAAAATGACAGCTCATATAAGTACAACAACCTCAACCCTATCATTTACTACCCCATGGATCTTTCTTCATCTCTCTCTCTAGAAGCTCCGCCTTCCTTAAATGGAACTGCAGCAGATACACCATCTTTAAATGGTAGTGCAACTACTCCTTTCTCAAATGGCAGTGCAGGTGCTACTCCATGTGTACCTGCAACACATAACATTCAAGACAGTCAAAGTGCTACAAAAAAGGTGCCTAAACTAACTAATGCACAGAAAAGCAATATGGTACAAATACTTTTAGCAAGTTTGAGCAAAGGAAAATTTCAGAGGGGCATTGTTGGACAAACAGCTGAACAATTCAACTGTTCTAGGCGTACAGTTAACAAAGTGTGGGCCAAAGCTAAAAGCCAACTGAATGATGGGGTGCCTATTAATGTTCAGAGCCGATGTAAGGGAAACGTGGGAAGAAAAAGAGTTGCTTTTGACTTAGAAAAGTTAAAAGACATTCCACTGCATCAAAGAAAGAACATCAAAGAGCCAAGTCTTCTGTGCACAGATTAGTCAAAGATAAGCAAATAAAGAGGCATTCAAATGCCATAAAGCCATTACTCACACATGTTGGAATGGTGAAAAGGTTACATTTCTGTCTATCTCATATTGTGCCTAGGCCTTTCCCAGAAAAGTCCACTTTTCATCATTTCTTTGATCACATTCACATTGATGAAAAGTGTTTTTTTATCTAAAGAAACCACAACATACTACACCCATCCAGATGAGGTAGGCCCCTACAGATCTGCTCAATCCAAAAAAAATATACCCAAAGTTATGTTTTTAGCAGTTGTAGGTAGACCTAGATTTGGGGAGGATGGGGCAGTGCTATGGGATGAAAAGATTGGTATCTTTCCATTCACTTTTGAGGAAAAAGCAAAGAGAGCTAGTAAGAACAGACCAGCAGGCACAATGGAGACAAAAGCCACATTAAGTGTAACCAGAAGTGTCATTAAGGACATGATGCTACAGAAAGTATTACCAGCAATCAAACAAAAATGGCCAGATGCACAAAACAGGAACATCATCATTCAACAAGACAATGCAAGGCCACATATTGATGTAAATGATGCAGATTTTGTGGAGTGTGCAAGTGAAGATGGGTGGAACATAAAGCTTAGTTTCCAACCACCAAACAGCCCAGACCTGAATGTGTTGGACTTGTGTTTTTTTCGTGCAATTGACTCACTGAAGGAACAGAAAGCCCCTAAAACAATTGTTTAATTAACTGAAGCTGTGACAACTGTTTATGATGAGCTAACAGCTTACACTTTAAACAAAGTTTTCTTAAGTTTTCAGTGTGTCATGGAACAAATATTGATGCACAAAGGTGGAAATCAGTTTAAGCTCAAACATCTTGGGAAAGACAAGCTTGACAGACAGGGAAGGTTACCACATAATATGGAGATCAATCCTGAATTGGTGGAGGAAGCAAAAGCAACACTTATACAACAAACAAGCCATATCATCATCAGTGCAAGGAGAACCATAACGCAAATTGGCTTATTTGGAATTCTAGGGGTCTAGAGGCCTCCAGCTCTAGACTACATTCCCTAGTTTCTCAATGGAGGTTACAGCTGATTGTTATTATTGAACCTATTGTGCAGGACACTAAGGCTGGTCACTATATGAAAACATTGGGCTTTATTAATGTTTTAGCTTCTCCAGTCAACAAAATTTGGGTTTTTTGGAATAATTCATGTCTGGATATTTCCCAGATCTCCTGGCATCCTCAGTTTACACATTTTAAAGTTTCAGGTCATATCTTTGAGGGTTGGGTGACTGCAATTTATGGTGCTCATACTTATATAGCTAGAAGAGAGCTTTAGAAGGGATTGATTGATATTTCTTCTAGTATGATGGAACCTTGGTGGTAGGAGGTGACTTTAATGTTATTGCTAATTATGATGAATATAATGGCAGTTCAACTCCTATCATTAGAGGCATTAATGATTTCTCAGAGTGTATGGCTACCAGTAATCTTGTGGACTTGCCACACATTGGAACCAAATATACTTGGGCAGGAGTGAGAGCTAATGGATGGGTTTGGAGACGTTTAGATAGAATTTTATTAAATTCAACTTTTCTGGATAAAAATTTAATAAAATTCATATTACTATCTTGTCCAAGACACCATCTGATCATAATCCTTTGCTTTTACATTTTGAAAACCTGAATATTTCTGGACCTAAATCTTTTAGGTTTCAGAATATGTGGCTTGCTCATTCAGATTTCATGGACTTTGTAACTCAAAAATGGGCTTTTTATACTACAGGGGGAGGTATGAGGGGTCTTGTTATCAAACTTCAATGTCTCAAGAAAGATCTGAAAGAGTGGAACAAGAGTGTTTTTGGCAACATCTTTACAGACATCAAAAAGTATGAAGAAGAGGTGTTGATAGCTGAAAAACAGTTTGAAGACCAGCCTAATGTGGGCACTAAAGAAGATTTAGCTTACAAAAAGGGTCTCCTACTAACTAAATACAGATTGGAGAGGAAGTTTTGGAAACAAAAGGCCAACATTAAGTGGATCAAAGAGGGTGACTCTAATACCAAATTTTTTCACTCTTATGTGAAGGTCAGAAATAGAATTCAGAGTATTACCTCTATTACCAACTCTCAGGGACAGAAACTGACAGATCTACAAGATATTGGCAAGGCTGTGGTTGATTTCTTCACAGAATTGTACTCTACAAGCCCTGTAAGTGACTCTAGTGATTTACTGCAGAATATTCCAAATCTTATTAGTCATGAGGAGAATATTATGTTGATTGCACTGCCTAACTTTGAAGAAATTAAAGAGACCATTTGGGGTTTAAATCAAAATAGTGCAGCAGAGCCTGATGGTTATAATGGTAAGTTTTTTAGAAGGTGCTGGGAGGTGGTTAAACAGGATGTCCTCATGGCTGTCCAGGAGTTCTTCATGGGGCATCCTATTCCCAAAGGGATGGCTAGTGCTTTGATTATTCTTATTCCTAAAAAGGACAGACCTAGTTTCTTTACAGAATTTAAACCAATCTGTTTATCCAATTTCATTAGTAAAATCTGAACTAAAATTTTGGCAAACAGATTGACTAATATTCTTCCCAGAATTATTTCAAGTGAGCAAGCAGGTTTCATGCAACAAAGAGACATCTCAGAGCAAATTCTAATAGCACAAGAAATAGTTCATAATATTGATAAGAGGATCAGGGGCTCAAACATGGTTATCAAATTAGATATGACAAAGGCTTTTGATAGAGTTTCTTGGGATTTCCTTAATGATATCATGCTGCAGTTTGGTTTTTGTGAACAGTTTGTCAAGTTGGTGACTAATACTCTTAAAGTCACTTATCTTTCTATTTTGGTGAATGGTTCACCTCAAGGTTTTTTTTAAGCCTTTCAAGGGAGTTAAACAAGGGGACCCTCTCTCTCCCTTCTTGTTTATTATTGCATCTGAAGCCTTTTCCAGGGGGATTAATAACCTATATCAAAATGGTAAAATGAAACCCTACTGGATGGGAAGGCATGGGCATCCTATTTCTCATCTAGAATTTGCTGATGATTTACTTGTTTTCTTAAATGGAGAATCTAGATCTTTATTGATGTTCAAAAAGTTTTTAGAAGATTATCAAAAGGCTTCAGGTCAGTTTATTAATTTAGACAAGAGCTCCTTTGTTTGTGGAAAAACTTTACCTGGAAGACTCAGCAGCATCAAAAATCTTCTAGGCATGAATCTGGCCTCTCTCCCCATTAAATATTTGGGGGCTCATCTGCACAAAGGCATAAACAGAATTGAGTATTGCAAATCACTAATTAATCAATTTGAGAAGAAATTATCTCCTTGGAAGCAAAAGCTTTTGTCTCAAGGAGGGAGATTGGTTTTGATTAGATATGTGCTTAATACTATGCCTCTTCACATTATGGCTGTGGATACCTTACCTAGGAAAGTTATCAGAATTCTGAATAGTAAAATGGCATCATTTTTTGGGGGTACAAAAGATGACAAGAAGAAACACCACTGGGCTAAATGGGATAGCCTTTGCTACCCAACTGAAGAGAGAGGTCTGGGTATCAGATCTTTGGCTGCCATTCAAAAAGCTTTTGCCTTTAAAATTTG